GCATGTATCACGCATTCTCTTGCCACTCCCACAAGTTCATATGAGCAAGTTCCCAGAGGCCTCAGAGACTCTGTTTCCTTATGTTCATGCACCAACTCTGGCTCTTACAATCTTTCTGCCCCTTCTTCCACAATGGTCCCTGAGCCATGAGTGAATGAGATTTAATATAGGACTCCTACCTAGGGACACACACTCTGCAGTCTCTTATTCTTTACACCTTGGCCAGTTGTGGCCTTCTGTGTGCATTATATGCTGTTGCATGAGGAAACTTTGCTGGTGAAAGTTGGGGAATGTATTAGTATTCTCTCTTACCTCCTTTTCTGCTCTGTTCCATGAGCCTTAGATGTAGAGATTCCACTGTAGATGTGTCACTTAGGGCTGGGCATCTCTCAGACATTTATTCTCTCTGTGTGACCAGTAGTGGAACTCTATAATGGACTTCATCTGTTGCAAAAGAAAAAAGATTCTTTGGTTAATGGAGTAGGTATACTTGTCTGTAAAGATAATGATACATAGTTAGCATACCATAAGGAATTTCATTTGTCTAGAGATATGACAGAGATAAGGTTTTCTCTAGGATTTATGACCTCTCTGTTTATGTGTATTTGGCTATGTTTACAATGCCACCTATGAGTTCCCTCCCATTAAGAGTGCTTTAAGACCAATTAGATAGCTGTTGGTTACGCCCTAGATAAAAGTACCACTACTACACAGCTGTAGATTGTTTTGCTGGTCATTGTTGTGGTTCTTAAGCTTTTAAACTGGGATTGGACTATTGATTGATTTTCTCCCTTAGCAGTTTGCATGATGTTCTGTAGAACTATGAGTTAGTCTTCAGGGAGGAGGCTTCCAGGTCCATTTCAGCTTCATTGCTCCAAGTCCTGTGTTTGAAGTATGTCCTGTCTTCAGCAATAGGGTCTTACCTGCAAGTTTCTGGGAGGTAATTGAGTTACATTTCTTAATCACAGTATAAAGTAGTGTTTATAGAGATAGTTTGGGACTCTGAGTAGAAAGAAACCATGTCTAGAAACCGCTTCTGTATAATTATGAGTTAAAAAGTTTTTACTGCCAGAATTATGGTTCCTTTGGGCTTATATGAGATTGGTTTATGTTGAAAATAAGTTTACATTTCTGAATTCACACTCAACATTAGTTCTAACCATGGCACATTTTAAGGACAAACTTCTTTGAATTAATAGAAAAAATTCTTGGACATTATCTCAATTTTGTATATGTGGCTAGATATTAAATTCCTATAATTTATCGACTAAATAGTCATGATCTTAGTACTCAGAGGTAGGATGTGAGTGTATGTTGTCATTTAGTCACTCCTTCCAACAAAGCCACTGTCTCTGGTTCTCTAAGCTCTAGTGAGACTGTGCACAAGACAAAGTCTCTTTTTTCCTATGGAGCTTACTTATTGGGGCAAATGGTTACTGATTAAGAACAGTAGCAGCTGGGGCCCAGATTTGTGGAAGTTAAAATTGAGTGACTGAGTAGGAACAAGAAATGGTAATTGTACAAATCTTTATAGACATAACATTGAGAATGAAATCTGAATGATAAGAAGGAAGCAGCCATGTCAAGATGTTGGGGAGTTGAAATTTAGACAGGAAACAGCCAGGGCAAATCAACCCCTACCTCCCCAAAGTGGGAAAGAGCTTAGTATGTTTGAAGGAAAGAAAGAAGTTGAATGGGCCAGGTGCATAGTGTATGTGGAGAGTTGGGAATGGAGCTTCTCAGGTAAGTGGGCAGCAGCCATAGCAGCCTGTGGAGAGGTCAAAGTGGAGGTTTTGGGCTACTCTGGTTGTCAAAGATCTTAGGGAGTTTGTTGATTCAATTAGTGAATATGAATCGTAGTTAAATGTGAATATTGTTATAAAGGGGCTGACTCTAGTTCTTTGACTCTACGCTGTTCCCCGTGAATGGCACAGGGAGGGTATTGGATGGTATATTTGCAGCCCATCAGCTCAGCCACTCAAATGACACGTGAGGTCTCTGTGTCTCTGTCCAGTGTAACTAACTCCCCATGGAGTCCTGTGAAACCTGTGTGGTCAGGGCCAGGTAGAGCTGGCTAGTTGGCCATCGTCTGGCTTCTAGTCAATCAAAAGCAAAAATTACCTGCATTATCACATGCTAATAAAGCATCTTAAAAGTTTATTTTATTGCACATTAATGTATATGTAAATAAGATGACTTACTATTGGCTATGGAGAGTATACACACATAGACATGTCACATAGACACATAAATGTGTGAAAATGATGCACAAATAAAGTAGCACAAAGTCTTTACCTAGCAGTTTGTGACAGGCCTTTTTAAACACTTTTGTAACATGTAACATTTTTGTAACATGTATTATCATTATTAATGGTCCATAAAATTAGCAAATGTTTATGTTAACATGACCGTCTGTAAGTCCAGTTCCAGGAGACCCAACACCCTCTTCTGACCTCCATGGTCATTGCATGACACAGGTGTACTTACATACATGCAGGTGATACACTCAAACACATAAAACAGAAATAATAAATATTTTAAATATTAGGTCAAGTTAGCCATTAGCATCTGTCCTAGGTGGGTTTCTGTTACTGTGAGAAAACACTGACCAAAAGCAACTTGGGCAGAAAAGGGTTTATTTGTCTTATAACTCACCAACAGAGTCATCATTGCAGTAAGACAAGGCAGGGCTCGGGGCAGGAACCTCGAGACAATCACTGGGACAAAGACCATGGAGGAACGCTGCTTGCTAGCTTGCTCCTTTGGCTGGTGCTCAGCCTGCGTTCCTATACAATCCAGGACCACCTGCCAAGGGGCAACAGCATCCACAATGGACTGAACCCTCCCGCATCACTCAACATTCAGCATCCACAGTGGACTGAACCCTCCCACATCACTCAACAATCACTCAACAAACAATGTCTCACAGTCATGCCCACAGGCCAATAATAGAGGAAATTCTCCAATTCTCAAGAAAACTAACAAATACTATTTTTACGGCATCAATGAAGAAAACCTTTGCTGTATTCCTAAATCTACTAAATTAGTATTTGCTTCAAAGGTAGTCAGATCTGTTCCACCAGTTTCACAGTAAGCAGGTACCTAAATAAAATGTCTTTCCTTCCTCACCTAGGTGCCCTGTACACACATCACATACCATGGTAATTATGGGTATTGTTGGAAGCTTGTATGGTTGTCATCTTGCTGTGGTTGGATGAAATTTAGGCCTAAGGGAGGGTGTAAATTAAAACAGGGAGGAGGAAGACTGGGAAAGGTCTCTCTTACAGAAAAGGCAGCTCTATGGGAGTGGAGGCTGGCAATCTGCTAAAAGGAAATTAAAAGAAATTCTTCATTTCTAAACAGTTCATTGACCCATGATAATAAAATAGCCCTGCTAGCAAAGGATAATTATCTTTTTTAAGTATCAGATGCCCTGTGGGTGAGGGCCTCCCTTCTCTCTTGAAAAATGAACTCAGATTAAACAAATACCCCTTTTCCTAGTTTACTGCTTATGTGAATCGCCTGATTATGAGCAAAGTTAATCAGCTTTCCTCTTTCACGTGGAAATCAGGCCTGTCCAGCTGAGCTCTCTGCACTTCCCCTGGGCCTTGAGTACAACAGTGTGATGCGTTAGAGCGCTTTATATTCTGGTGAGACCAGCAATTGCGAGATTGTGGTTTTATTAGGCCCTGGTGCTGCTTAGCTCCAGGCAGAAGCATGGATTCCTAAAATAACAAGAAAAAAGGTGGGGAGGGAGAAAGGAATAGGAAAAAAACTACATAAAGTTTTTCTTTTTTCTTTTGCTACGATCTGGAAACAACAAATGATATAACTATGGGTATATTTGCATAAACAATCCCCGTGTATGATGGCTGACATTCATTTCTCTATTATCAATAGTGGGAAAGCATTTTAATATTGCCATTCTGTTTTTTACTTACACTACAGCATTCAGTCAATTACATGAGATCTTCAAAACTTTGTTTTAAAATAGGCTTTGCAAGTGAGATGATCTTGCCCACCTGGAGGCTAATGTTTAAGGACGGCTAATCTGAATTATGATGCCCTGTAGGTTAGCTGTATTACAGGAATTTATGACAGGATATTTGTAGCTTATAATGGGTTGATTGAGTTATATCTCCTTTCCGAGTCAAAAAGTGACTGTATATGTAATCGTACAGTTGCAAATCTGTATATATGCATACATATGTTTATGTATAAGTGCGTGAAGTGACTATAAATTTGCTGCCAATGAATGACCAACTTACACGCTGTTTCTCCAGACTTTGGCATTTCCTCAGACCAGCAATGGACCAGCAATGGAACGATGTGGCGTCATCTATCTTGTAGAATGCATTAAGACAGGGCTTTCTTTTTCTCTTTTTATTAAAGATTTAGCTAGAACTATCTTCTGTATTCTGAATAATCAATCCCAGATACCCTTGTCATAACCTACTTGCCCATCTGGCACACTTGCTAGTTGTAGGTGAAGCTCCTTGTTCCATTTCTGAATGTCTATATTCCTTTTAAAATAAAACCAACTGCTTTCATCTGCTTCCTGTGTGTTTCTGTTACTTCTTGGAAAGGGAACTTGGCATTTTTAATCATGATACTTTACCTGGAGAAACCAGATATTCCAGTTTCTTATGCAGTTTTTTCCTGCATGATGCCCTCGAGTACTGGGGACACCAGCCTAGGCACATGGTCAGGTGATAATGGCCCAGAATGGATCCATCATGCAGTCCTCTCTGCAGTGCTAGAGTCGCTCTGCACCTTACCATCCCAGCTCTTAAATTCTTCTGTGTGCCCCAGTGTCTCCTTCAAAGTATAACTAGTTTTGAAGCTCTTTGTGTATGCCCTGGTTGGTGAATATTTCTCTCCTCATTCCTAAGTGTTCAAGAGTTCAAGCCTTGGGTCAAAGGGATTCATTGCTGTGTGTAAACTGCTCGAAGAATGCTACTCAAAGCAAGCCAAACATTCCTTAACACATCTTGCCACAGATGTCCTCGTGTGCCCGCTGAGGCCAGTGGAGCGCTTCCGTGACCTGCATCCCGATGAAGTGGCCGATTTGTTTCAGGTGACCCAGAGAGTTGGGACAGTGGTTGAGAAGCATTTCCAAGGAACCTCCATCACTTTTTCCATGCAAGTGAGTACACAGATTGTTCAGAAATGATGTTTTTTACTTCCTTTCCAAAGCTCAACATGAGGCTCTCTACCCCAGACGTCTCCTGAGAAAGGCAACTGCATTTGTCTGCATTTACATAACAGCAAAAAAAAATAGATATTACAAATTCAAGACAGCTCTGTCATCCATTGGCTCCAAGGCGGCCTATGGAATGACATTGCAGGTAACGTCTGCTGTACTGTTTACAAAGCAGGTGGGAGTCCTGGGCAAAAGATTTAAGGGAGATCTTATGCTAGAACTGAGGCTGGGCAAGTCACTTTGCTCCATGGTGACTATGTTCTGAGCATGCACAGGCTGAGCCTTGCTACAGTTCTGGGGGAGCAATGACACGAAACCTAAGTTAAGCCTTCTCCTCACAGGGTTCTTTTCTCTACACTGCAGTGATGTGTCGTGGGTTGGTCCAAAGCTGGATCGGCCGATTGGATATGGCTCATTATACAATTAAGAGATCTGCAGGCAGAACTTGGGCCGATACCAAGTTGAAAGGAGGATGGCCATGATACATCTGGACATTGAGTAAATAAATAGTAACATACCATGATCCTCTTCAGATCCCCATGAACAGGGCTTTGGGCAGCAGTGTATATGTAAAGCCCCTTGTGCTCAGAAGTGTGACAGCTGTAATTATCCTCGGGCATGACATCAGTTTCTCCAACATGTGGGGACTGTGTTCTTAGCTCTTCAGATAAACTGAAGGTTTGCTGTCTGCATTAATTATTTTTCTCATTGCTGTGATGCAACATCCTGACAAAAGAAACTTGAGAAAGCAAGAGTTCCTACTGACTCACAGTTTGAGGCTTGGGAAGGCATGCTGATAGGAGTGTGAGGCAGCTAGTCACACTGTGTCCATACTCAGGAAGCAGAGGGTGACGAACACTGATGCTCAGCTCACTTTCTCCTTTTGGTTCGGCCCAGGACCCCAGCCCATGGAATGCTGCTGCCCATATTTAAAGTGCATCTTAATGTCCTCAATTAACCTAGTCTAGACTTTCTCACAGACATGTCCAGAGACTTCTTTCCAAAATGATTCTAAATCCTACCAACTTGGTAATCAACATTAACCACCATGTCATCCTTTAGCTTTCTTCTGTGGGCCTCCCAAAAAAGCAGGTAAAGATGTCAGTGCATTAGGTCTATTAAAATCTCTGACTCTAAATAATGTTCATCCCTTTCTCAAAAAAATAAAAATATAGGGGGCTGGGGGCATGGCTCAGAGGTTAAGAACACTAACTGTTCTTGCAGTAGACCCAGGTTCGAATCCTAGCACCCACATGACAGCTAACAACTGTCTGTAACTCCAGCTCCAAGGGATCCAACAGCCTCTTCTGTTCTCTGCGGGCATTGCACGACACAGGTGAACTTACCTACATGCAGGCAATACACCCATACACATAAAATAAAATAATAATAAAATATTTTAAGTAATATTTTTAAGTATAAATAAATAAATAAATAAATAAGAATGGTTGTCTGTGTTGAGAGTATTTACACAGTTCCTAAATACCATTTGAGTCACCTTCAGACAGGTAACTCAACCTGTGGTGGTAGGTTTATCAAGGCGATGTAACGGTTTCCAGGGAGACCAAGTAAAGGAAGTGGATGAGAGCAACTGCCAGTGTTTAACAAAATATCAAAAAGAAAATCATAGTATGGGAAATACCAGTCCTTGTTATCTGAACATTGATATATTAACATAAGCTGGGAGAGGGAATCCATGTGGGTAAAGTCTCCCTCCAATGGTCACTCCCGCTTTTCTGCCCCAAGGTCACAGTGAAAGGCCTCTTCTCATTTAAACAATTCATATTCTTGTTGGATTTCCTGAGTAGAAACTTAATCAGACATTAATTAAACTACTCTGACTTTAAGATAACCAAAAGGTGTGATATTTCACCTCCCTAAACATTTTCAGCCTTACTTTTAATGCAATTAAAACCTTAGCCAAAAGCAAAGAGCATAAAATTTAGCAAGGGGGTGGCTCACTGGATAATTCATATGACTTTATCCATCGCTCCTCACACTCGGCAGGAAATGGAGAGCAGGCTGGGCCCACACATTTGAAGTGAGTGGTCCCCATGAGAATACTATAAATTAACACACAATGAAATTGGATCTAAATTATTAACGGGCGATATTTCTGAATAAGCAGGCCAAACCATCAGTCAGTCCTCACCTCTGTTCTTTTCCTTTTACTTCTAGGATGGTCCCGAAGCTGGACAGACTGTGAAGGTGAGTGCTTATTATGTGCATACAAATTAATAAGGGACAATTATGGGAACTAATAAAAAATCACAACGAGTCATTTGCAGCACATTGCTGTTTCATTGTTATCTTCGAGGTCAGAGAGACCCTCAGTGTTAGAGCCATAAATCCTGACATTATAAACTGTGCCAAACCATATGTTTCCCATTAGTTTACAAGACATTTACCTTTTCTAGTAAAATTATTACTGTGCAAATGCTGAAACAGAAACTAAATCAAGGTATTCTAAAACACAGTCCAAGAGGTTCCTACGTCTAGGACACGGCACATCAGCTTCATGTGGGTTTTTCACATGAGACTAGAGCACCCGACACATCTTCCTGTCTTCACACGGTCTATTGGTCTATTTTCGCCTATCCCTTCGTGAGTAAGGGGTGTCCTGTGGTGTGTCGGGGTCTCCATCCCTCCCGGCACTGCACTTCACGACTTCTTTCACTCCCACACCTCCTGTTCTCTCTAGCTACTTAATACCAAAGTTCAAACATAATGGGATCAGTGGAGCTCAAAAATGGGTTTTTAAGTGTGCTAGAGAGGAAAGGAGGATTTATTAGGATAGCCTCTGGTTTCCTAGTGAAAAAGATAAGACAAAAGTCCTGGCTGGTTCTGAAGCTAGATTTCTTCCCCTTTCACACAAATGTGAATTCCTGTGTAGTTAGGTCCAATGCTTAAGTGTTAGAAAAAGATACGTTTTTGTTCTCAGAAATCAAAAGCAAGTCAGGCTATGCTACTGATGTGCTTTATAAATTAAAGTTTTAGGACTCTGGGACCAGCTTTGATAGAGTAACTTGGCACCAAATCACACCAAATGATCATGGTTCCTTTCTGATCTTTGTATGTGGCTTCAGTGTTTACCATAGCTGCTGTGGGATGTTTGAAGTAGGATATATGGGAAATTTCTTGGAACATGAATGTCTCAGAGGGACTGTTACCGAATTCCTTATGATGAAAAGAGAGCAGCCCCCCCCCCATTGCTCCAGACACACATGGGGAGAAACTGAGAGGGACTCAGTTTCCCCCACTCCTCTGTCCATAGCCATGTTAGGCATCCAAATATGCAGATGCTAAAAATGATGTAATGCCAGTGACATTGCTTGGAAACTCATTCTCGAAATAGAAAGCACAAATATTCAAATGTGGCTACCAGAGTTTTTAAAACTCAGAATTCCAATGTAAACTCTACGTGCAGTGGAATAGTTAAGTGTGTTATTCAGTATCTGTTTAGTGCGAGTTCTACAACCATTGATAGTATATAAAAGCAGAGCTAGTGTCATGGCAGAATGCTCACCTGCATTAAGTAGACACACAGATTGGTAATAAATACACTGTAAACATAGCTGAAATTTGTATGAACAGGTGTGTTATGTGATCTCAGGATTTTATTTCAAAATTCTAAAGGGTTATGAAAATTATTTGCTATAAATGGACATGAATAGAGATGGAAAATAGGTTAATGGTTACTAGGGACCAGGTGAAGGAGGAAAGAGAGAGTGCTTGCTAATGGAGATGGGTTCTCTTGAGGTGATGAGGATGTTACAGAATTTAAGGGATGGAGAGATGGCTCACTGGATAAGAGCTGTGCAAGCATGAGGACCTGAGTTTGGATCTCAAAATCCACAAAAAAAGCTGAGTATGGCTGTGCAGAACTCTGTAACCCCAGTGTTATGGGACTAGGCTCTTTGGGCCTAGATGACCACCAGTCACCAGCCTAGCTCCATGTTCTGTATAAAATGTTTACCTTATCTCAAGAGAAAAAGTGAAATTTGATAACGCAAGGCACCCAGTGTCCTCCCCTGACTTCCAAATGTACCCCCCAACACACACATGCACTATACTCACATATATAATACAAAGAGGATATTGTGGAATTTCACAATAGTAATTAATGGTTGGGCATCGTTGAGAGTACACAAAACCACACTGAATCATTTACTTGAAAAAGTGTGAGCTAATGATATTTGAATTAGCTCTGGATTAAAAATAGTAATAACCTCACCTGTTAGTGAATAAATGAATTAATTTTCAATTTTTTGTGACAGGGTCTCACTGTTACCCTGGCCCGTGTAGGACTCAATATGTACAACAGGCTCGCCTTAAACTCACAGAGGTCCACGTGCCTCTGTGAATATGCCACCCCTCTCAGCTAAGCCCTGCCCCCTTTTTAAAGCGACAAATAAGCATTGAGTCTATCAGGGCTGAGGACCCTGTCTATAGAATATCTGACTTCAATAACAATAACTTTTTGATGTCCCACTTACCTAACCAGAGTTGTCACGATTTTATTAGCTTTAAAGGGGGTGATGATGGATTCAGTTCTAATTGAAGAACTTATATATGAATTCAGTCACTTATGTATGAATTGTTGAATATAGTTACTATAACCAGCATTGTGCACATGCAATATTACGATATTATTTTGAACATCTTTTAGTCATTTCTAACTTGGTCATATGGTTTCCTCAGTATGGATTTATGAGGTCATCTCACATCCTTTGTGAAATATAATGAGCAATACCCTAATTGGATAGTGATGTTTTGAAAACTGTTCTTTTAGGCCTCGCCTACCTATTTCAAAGTGCATAGTCTGGGTTTTTCAAACTGTGATCCTTATACCACCTGCATGAAAATTTACTTTGGTATTAAACAGTACAACCATCATATAGATTCTCAGTTGTTATGCTAAATCTACTAATTTAGACTGCCATGGTCAGGATGTGACAGTCTTCATTACTATTAAGTATGCATTCTTTGATTTTTTTTTTTAAAGCGTGGGCCATTTCCCAGCCTTGCTATTTTCCAGTGGCAAAGTTTTCACTGATGGTGGCCACGTGATGTTGAAGCATGGAAGTCAGTCTCACGCCACCCGCAGGCAGCCCCTCCGGGAGCAGGGTACCACCTTCAGTATTGGGCTGTTTGATTCTGAAAGCTGCATTCAAGGCTCAGAGCATTTCATGTTTTGAAATTCACACAGTTGCACATTTTGAAGTGAGGTTTGACAGCCTACCATGGGAAGCACAGGGCCGGTTCCCTTTATCTTTGTGTGTGAGATTCTGTGTTGTGCCTGATGCCTGGGTTCTAAACCATTTTTGCCTCTTGCTGGGTGGTAAGAGCAATAAGCCCAGTCATGGTCTTTTTCCCTGAAGCAATGTTGTTATTGTTAATGAGGGTGCACCACTGAGTTGGCCTCTTGAACAAGATAGCACTTCAGGGGCTTTGTTTCTGAGGCTTTAGATTGTGCTCTGCAAAGCGAAGGGTGGCCTGACTTACCCAGTAAGACCCATGTAACAAGGAAAGGGGGATATGGAAGTAAAAAGTGACCTCTTATTTCACAACTGATTATTAGGTTTCCTTCTCAAGTTTAAAAGTAGTGGGACACTGCCAGCTACCAGGTGATTATTGCCATCATCTGGACATCCAGCTGTTTTCAGAAGTGATCTCTTTCTCCTCTCTCAGCCACTTAGTCCTTCCCTGACTGACATCCACCCGAGCTGCCTGGTGAGCATTGTGGTCCCCATCCTATGGCCTGGCTGGGTTTCTGTCAAGGAATTCTTCATTGTCTTTTAATTATTTGTTTGCTTACTTGCGTATGTTTCCTTAATTATGTTGTTTCTTTGGCCTTCAGAGAGTATAAGCTTTATGATGTTGGATTGGGGGATTGTTCATTGATGGAGCTTAGAACATATTTCCCTGGAAGGTAGTCCCTTGGCACCTGAAATATTTTTTTTAGATTTTATTTTTTATTTGTGTATATGAATGTGTCTCTGTGTGTGTAGGAACATAAGTGTAAGGACCTCAGTCCATTCAGAATACTGCATCTGATCCTCTGGAGCTGCAGTTACAGGCAGTTGTGTGCTGCCTGATGTGGGTGTTGGGAACCAAACTCAGGTCCTCTAGAAGAGCAGTCAGTGCTCTTATCAACTGAACCACCTTGTCAGCCCTACACCTGGAATATTTTTAGATGATGGAAACTGGAAACAGAAAAGTCACTTTCTGGTCTTAGTCCACCTTTGTCCCTTAAAGCAAGCCATAAAAGATTATCTGACCTGCCCTAAAAGTAGGTATCAGACCCTTGTCCCAGAAAGTCCTGCTTTTTGCTAGAAAGCAGGAATAATCAGAATAAACAGTCAGCTCTTGATAAGTTGCCCTGGTTTATTTCTATTGATTGTGTTTTCATATCACATATCTTCCTGTCCATATAAATATTTTCCCTGTTTTTTAGGTTTTAATTTCTGAAGCTTGCACAACATATAAAATTTACATGAAATAAATGTGATATAGTTCTCCCCTGTTAATCTGTATGCTCAGTATTCTTAACCGTAAACCTAGCAATAGGTAAGTAAGATAGTTTCCTCCCCTACATTTTCTGTGGCTGTTTTCTTTGTGGAAATACTATGACTTTACTTGCTGTAACAAACTTCTGATCATGAGTTTATAACTTTAGTCAACATGAATTGCAATTGATACATATTTTTTTCTGCTGTATAGTCAGGCAGCTGGTTTCCTGAAATTGCTATGAAGTATTTTCTATATTACAGACATTGGATTATTCACAAATTAAGTTCCTAAATCCTAATCCAGATGGTAATTCCAATCAAACCAAAGCATTAAGGAGTACACCTTCCTTTAAAAGGAATGCTGTTTAATAAGCCTTCCTTGAATGATCTTCTAGGGTTGTCACAGGAGCATTTTGGGTGAAGATGTTTAGGGTATATTGAGTCATCCCAGGTAGGTAATCTCATTAGAACTATTTATAGATATGCTTGCTTACATTCTTCTATATTTATGGTGCTTAACTGTCCTACTTAAAGATTTAATTTTATAGTATTAATGCAGTTGGAAGTGTATCTTAATAACTGTTGAAATATTACCAGCTATTACTTTCCAGACTGCTCTAAAAGAACAAGAAAATAAGTTTCTTAAAGAAATACTAATTTTTTAAAACTTCTGTTGTCTTAAGAGTTTTTTATTTC